CGATTGCTTGTGAGTTGCTTAGTTTTTTTTAACTGACTGAGAAGATGGGATTTTGAAAGGTGTGTGGGCGCATTTGGGGCAAGTTGTCTTTTGGCACAACCCTCCAGTCCTCATGGCCAACTGCAGCAAAGCCTAAAAATGAATGACGAGGCCCTGTGGTTCCTTCAAAGATGAATCCATCATTCTGGCATAGTATCATCTTTCACAGACAAGAGGCCAGGGTGGGGGGAAAGCAGGAAGCACTACAATCAGGTGTCACACAACGCCACAAGTCCACTTTCCCTTGTCATTCAAATGACATTATGGGACTGTGCCTCCTCCTACCTCACTGGGGCAAGACTTACTGCAAAGGGTTGCTGTTAAGTTGTGGGTGAACATATCAGATGACACAGTGATTCTTCAAACAGCTCGTTTATTCACAGGCCAGAACAGAACTGAACTGAAGGGTTCAGCCAGCCTGCTTATATAGAGCTCCACTACAACGTAACAGCAACCACTTTCTGTAACTATCCAATCACTGAACGTCACTTTCAATCCCTTATTTGCATATGTGGACCTGAGTGAAAACTATCTACAGTATCCCCCTGCTGGCCCAGGGTGAGAACTTCAGTACATAACAGTTGCTATGATCTGAGCTGTTTGGTTTTCGCTGACATCGGGTGACATTGTTTTATTGCTGACCTGCGCCTCAATCCAGCTCCTGACACCCAGTGAGCTTCATGGCTGAGTGGGGATTTGAACCCTGCTCTCCCAGGTCCTAATTCAGCACTCAAACCATTGCACCACGCTGGCTTCCCCTTGCTAGCTGTCCCCTGCCTTGAATTCTCCTCCATCAAATTGGCTTTGGCCCAACCGGTGCTTCAGAGATAGAATCACAGAATTGTAGAATTGGAAGGGACCCCAAGGCTCATCTAGTCCAACCCCCCGTTCTCCCATTCCAGCTTTGGTTCCTGTGTTCCTGCATCCTGCAGTCCCTGACCTCCATTGAACTTGCTCCTGACTGTGGACTCGCCAGTTGGACTGCCACCAGCGCCACTGCCCATGCCCCGGTCCCGGCGTGTCGGTCCTGGACTCTTGCCACCCACTCCCTGGATCGTGACAACCGACAACGCTGGAATCTCAGCTGAAGCATCCATGACAGATGACCTCCAAAGAAGGAGAGTCCACAACCTCCTGAGAGAGACAGTTCTACTGTTAAATAGCTCTTACTGTCAGAAAGTTTTTCCGTAATCTCCTTTCTTGTAACTTGAAGCCATTGGTTCAAGTCCTACCCTCCAGAGCAGGAGAAAACAAGCTTCCTCTATCTTCCCTGTGACAGCCCTTTAGATATTTGAAGATGGCTAACATATCTCCTCTCAGTCTCCTCTAAACACACCCAGCTCCTTCAAGCATTCCTCACAAGGCTTGGTTTCCAGACATCTATAGAACCACACTGTTAGCTTCCTTACATATGATGTTTATCTTTTAGGTTTTTTTATTGTGTAGTGCTGAATTCTTTTATTCAGCCTAGGACCCTGGTACCTACGGGACCGCCTCTCCGGGTATGCCCCGTGGAGGACCTTAAGGTTCATAAATAGTAACACCCTAGTGGTCCCTAAGAAAGTTAGATTAGCTTCAACCAGAGCCAGGGCCTTTTCAACTCTGGCTCTGGCCTGGTGGAACGCTCTGTCTCATGAGACCAGGGCCCTGCAGGATCTGATCTCTTTCCGCAGGGCCTGTAAGACAGAGTTGTTCCGCCTGGCCTTTGGCTTGGAATCAACTTGATCCCCTCCCCCTCTTTCCTTTTTCTTTTCTCCTTCTGTGATGAAACTCCTATTTGGGGACTTCCCTGGCTTTTTTCTGGCCCACGTAGGACCAGTCTGGATAGTTGGCCTTGGTGAAGATTTGACATTTTCATCCCCAAAAAGTTTTGATTTGAGTTTCTACTGAAATGAGGCTGAATTTTAATGTTGTATTTTAATCTTGTTTTTAAGTTGTATTTTAATCAATTGTTTTTATACCTGGTGTTAGCCACCCTGAGCCCGGTCTTGGCTGGGGAGGGCGGGGTATAAATAAAATTAATATTATTATTTATTCCTATTAACATTTCAATCCCACTTCATCTTTCAAGTAGTTTGAAGTGCATGGCTCTCCCTCTTTTCCTTAAAATTACCCTGAGAGGTGGGAGAGGCTGAGAGAATGAATTGCCCAATGGCACCAAGTCTAATCTTTAAGCTGTAGTCCAGCACTTTATAAAATCTAAGGTCCAGAAATTACTACTTATAATGCTGTGGTCCAGAGAGTAAAGACACAACTTAGAGTGGTGAAACAGGGTTCAGGAAGTCAGAGAAACCTGCTGACATAAAGTCGTAAAACCCACCGCCAGCCCCCCACCCTGATTTCAACCCAGGCATGGGGAGCATCTCGTGAAATCAGAGTCCCTAGGGTAGCATATATCCACCGTCCTGTTCTATATGCAAGCCCTGGTCAGCTCAGTCTGTGCATGTAAACAACAGGCAGGGTGACAAAGAACACACAGGCACAGCAAATACAAGGTCCTGTTTTCCAGAAACTACTGTATTATATTCGGTAACAGAGCAGGGAGAGAGATCGGGTGGGATACAGATCAGTTTCTCCATTGCCAGACCTCTGGTTTGGGTGGCTACACATGGATGGATAAAACATTGGCTGCTATTTTTAAGTCGCTGGAAATTCTTTCTTCCCCACATCCTGGCAGCACATATTTGAAGGGTGTTTATTCTTCAACAACGCACAGCAACAGCACCATCTAGTGACCCTCTCCTTGCCTGTGGTGTGCATTTAAAGATTGCACATGCAATTCTCCTTGCCTGGTGTCATCAGGCTCAAGTTATTTACTAGGTCACCTGAATGCTGCTTCTTGTGTGTCATCATGAAGGCATCACACAGGTCACAATTAACTGGACTGTCTTGGGAACAAAACAGGCTCATGAAACCAGCAATCCATGTGCATTTAGACTAGGCAGGTCACAATACAGCTTTATTGCCTCCGCTTCTCGCAACAGGAGACAGGCAGGGCCAAGAGAGAGACTTGCGCAGGGCCACCTGCTAGATTCTTCCTTGAGCACGAAATTGAACCCGGGTGCCTCTAGCCCCAAGCCAGTATCCCAGCCTGGGGAATACATTGGCTCAATAGCTGGTCTTAAACTGAGGTAAGCTTGGACTACTGCAATGCAATCTATGTGGGGCTACCTTTGAAGGTGACTCGGAAACTACAACTAATCCAGAATGCGGCAGCTAGACTGGTGACTGGGAGTGGCTGCCAAGACCACATAACACAGGTCCTGAAAGACCTACATTGGCTCCCAGTACATTTTCAAGCACAATTCCAAGTGTTGGTGCTGACTTTTAAAGCTCTAGACGGCCTCGGCCCAGTATACCTGAAGGAGCATCTCCACCCCCATCGTTCAGCCTGGACACTGAGGTCCAGCTCCGAGGGCCCTCTGGCGGTTCCCTCCCTGCAAGAAGCCAACTAGGCAGAGGGCCTTCTCGGTGGTGGTGCCTGCCCTGTGGAACGCCCTTCCATCAGATGTCAAGGAAATAACTATCTGATTTTTAGAAGGAAGCCCTGTATCAGGAAATTTTAAATGTGTGATGTTTCATATTTTTTATGTTCTGTAAACTACCCAGTGTGGCTGAGGAAACCCTGCCAGATTGGCAGGGTAGAAATAATAAAATTATTAATTAGAACACACAGCCCATCTGCCATGTATGATCTAGTTGAGATTCCTGCCTTGCAGGGGGTTGGACTAGATGACCCTTGGGTCTCTTCCAACTCTACTATTCTATGATAATAATGGTAAACAGAAAATGGAAGCTGCAGATAAGATCACAAACAACATAGGGACAGCTCTGTTAGGATTCCATGGTGGTAATAAGGGGGGATAATTTTTGTACCAGGAGGCGGCATTCAGTGATACTGAACCTCTAAACTTGATACTCAGCTCTAATGGCTCCTTGCCACTGACCTTCACCCCTCCTATTTCACGACTCTGGCCGATTCTCTTTTAGAGACATGTCACCGGTTGTTCATCCCCGCATCTTGTGGCAGTGAGTTCCGTGAACGAATTACGGTTGGGGGAGAGATCAGTAATCCAAGGCATCCTTTCAAAAAGTGTTGGGCACGCGGGGGTGGGGAAACGATCGTGTTGCTTTTGTTTTTTATTATTATGCATTTTGTGTTTTTATGTTGTGACCAACTCTGAGACCTGCGGGTATAGGGCGGCATACAAATTTAATAATGATAAAAGTCAAACCATATAACGCGCGCCCACAAAGCCACCAGAACTGTGCACCACTTAAATATGCAGATATTCTGTTTTATCCATAATTTTAAATCCAGGCGCGTGTGCCAAGAGAGCTATGCGTGTCTTTTCTCGGCGCCCGCCCCCCGGCCTGGGCGTTTCCCGAAAGCTCTCCCGGAGACGCAGCTCCTTCCCTTCTTCCCAGCGCCGCGCAGCTTCCCCGGCCGGATTTCTGCCTGCGAGGCCGCCCTGGAAAGGCCACCGCGGAGGGCGCGCCCCAAACAAAGCTTTATTTTTTTTTTGGGGGGGGGGTTGTCGGCCTGCCTGCCTCCCTCCCTCTCGGTCTCCCCTTCTTCCCCGCCTCCTCGCACACGCTCAGTCTGTTCCGGCCGCCGCCTCGCAGCGCCCCCGCGCAAGGAGGAGCCGCCGCCGCCGCCGCCGCGCCGCGCAAGAGCGCTCTCCCGGCGGCGAGGGGCGGTTGGTGGTTGTTTCCGCGGCCTCCATTTTAGGCGTCGCTGCAAGGCCCCGGGCGGCGGGGAGGGAGGCTCCCCGGGCGACGTGGAGGCTGCGGGCCTTGTTGTGACGCCGCGCTCCCGCGTCTCCCCGGCGAGGCTTGGGCCGGGTCTGGGCGGCGACGGAGATGGGCGCACGGGGCCTCTTGGCCGGCACTCGCGCACCGCTCGGGCGCCGCTCGTCCTCCTGAGCCTCGCTTCTCGCCTGCCTGCCCGCCTCCCTCGTCGCCGCCCGGGCCGCTCGCCCCCATGGAGACCCCCGCGGCGGGGCCGCCCCCCGTCACGCTCATCATCAAAGCCCCCAACCAGAAGTACACCGACCAGACCATCCGCTGCTTCCTCGACTGGACCGTGGGCAGGCTCAAGGGACACCTCTCCAAGGTGTACCCCAGCAAGCCGGTGAGACCCCCAACCATCAGACCTCCCCCCCCAAAAAAACCAACAACCCCCACCCCACCCCATGAGCGCAAACAACACTCTTTTCCCCCAGGCGGCTCCTCCTTTCCGTGTCCAAGTTGCCGGCCTTTCCAAATATTGTTTTCCAACCCTGTGTGCCCAAGCTGCGTTTTTACGCAGAGGGAAAGGAGAGCCTCGGTGTCGATTAATGCCCGACTCCGGGTGAGAGCGGCTTGGAAATGGAACCTCTCCTCCCTCCTCGGCTTTGTTTTCTGGAGCTGCTGTTTTCCCCCAAGCAGCAGCTCGAGGCTGTGGAAGGCTTTTGTCTGCCTCCCCACGTCGCCCTTGTGTGCGTGGAAAGGCATCCCTGGCTGGGTTTCTCTGTTACGGGCATAGTAAAGGAGGAGGAGGAAAGGGGGAAAGCCCAGGGGGTGCCCTGCTGGACAGCACAGCCGCTTGTCGTCTGTCCCTAAGTTGTAATTCTGCTTTTCTAGACACAGTGGGAGAGACACTGTCTCCTGGGCGTTGGCACCCTGGCCAGCAAACCGGGCCTTATCCTCCTCTCTTGCAGTGCTGAAAAACCCCACTACTCCAAAATACGCTTCAATAAGCTAGCGAGATTGCCTTCCTTGGCCTGGCATCCCGTACACAGCCACTAGTTGCTGGCCCTTCTCTGAATTTTTCTGAGACCAAATGGTCACCCTCCATCAGGTGGCACTCAAGCGTCCTCCGCCCCTGCCTGTCCTTTTTCTTCAGTACCGAAGTTACAGGTTTTTCAGTTATTCCTGAAAGTTCCTGCCTTGATTTGGCATCCTCCTGAGCAGCACCGCTTCCCTTCGCTTCCCTTCCCACCATCTTTCCTATAGAAACATATTTCAGCAAACAATACATACAGCGAAGGTCGCTTTGCATATTGTTTAGGTGTATTTTAAAGAAGCTTTAAGCTGGACCCCTAAAAATGTAAAGCGGTGAATGCAACAAATCTATGTTTGTGTATGTGTATTGTATAGGCTTTCTCAGCAGGAAGCTGAGATGGGTTGCACCTCTAGCTGAATGTATACAGTGGTGCCTCGCAAGACAAAATTAATCCGTTCCGCGAGTCTCTTCGTCTTGCGGTTTTTTCGTCTTGCAAAGCACGGCTATTAGTGGCTTAGCGGCTATTAACGGCTTAGCGGCCTTAAGAAAAAGGAAACAAACTCGCAAGAACTCGCAAGACGTTTTGTCTTGCGAAGCAAGCCCATAGGGAAATTCGTCTTGCGGAACAACTCAAAAAACGGAAAACCCTTTCGTCTAGCGAGTTTTTCGTCTTGCGAGGCATTCGTCTTGCGGTGCACCACTGTAGTTAGGTTTTTCCTTACATAATGCACAAACTGTACAAAATGGCCCAGAAATGCCTGCATATTCGTGTCCTTCCACTTTTGGTTAACTGGGCAAGAGATTAGCCAAGACTGGTGATCTCCCTCTGAGTGTTAACGTACTGCGATGCTTCTTGGGGGAAATGAAGGGCAAACTTTGAAGATTCCAAGGACAACTTGAAAAATAAGACAAAAGCAGGAAAAGTGTGCTAAAGGGGAGGGGGAAACGAAAGCTTTTTAGAACCCCAGGGATTCCTATTGGCCAAAGTCCAGGCAAATTATCCATATTCTGGCTTCATTCATTGACTAAAAGCACTGACAGATAGATGGGAGCAGACAGGCCATCTCCTTTCATAGGAATTTCTTCAAAGGCTGTCTGCACATTTTGCTTCATAACTTTCTTTCCAGATGGGCCGAAGTCTGACTTAAAAAATAAAATGAAATGAAAGCTCTGAATCTGTTTGCCAGGTATCTCAGCAGTAGGTCTTCCTCTAATGTAAGTGTGCATAGCATGGCAACCTTCATTTTCTTATACAGGATCTACCCACTCTTTGCACCAGGATCTGTTAATCTGTGCAATTGCAGGCAATATTTCCTTCCTGTTTCTTATGACATAGGGCGGGCTTTTCAGGGACCTGCAATGGAAGGAGCATTTGTGTAACTGGATCCTAACCTTGATGTGCATTATGGAAGAATAAATCCATGTAAAACAACTTATATATCCCTCTTTCAGAAATACTCCGTGATACAAGGGTCACTGCTATGCTGCTCTGTCATCATCTTTTTGGGTGGAAATCGGGATGTTTTCAGTCTAATCGATTTCAGTCTATTGACTTCATTTTATAGCAAAAGTATCAACAGATGCAGTCATAGAAAAGCTCATATTCATAGAAAGCTTTCATAACTGCTACATCTGTTAGAAGTACTGCCGTGGAAGCATACTGTATTTTTCCGTGTATAACATGCCCCCATGTATAACACAATTCCTATTTTTGGGGAATCCAAATAAAGAAATCCCCCATATGCACTATTGGTGTATAAGATGACCCCCAATTTAAAACTTGAAAAAATATAGTCTTATACATGGAAAAATACGTGTATTTTCAACTGTGGGGGAATACTGTAGGACACAACTTCCCTTTGTAACCTCACTGTGTTAGTGATCTCAATCTTAGCCACAAATTTCGCACTCAAGGGAAGCTGCAGTTATATTTATATTTAAAATGTTGCTCCAGGTACTTACCTTTAAATTTAGCAACAACCAACACTTTAAAATGACAACATTTTAACCAAAGTACATTTGTTATTGTTCCCTGACCTCAGAGGTTTTATTGGTGATGCGTTTGATAAAGGGAAGGAGAAGCTATTTTGAGAAGTATAGGACATTAAGTATTCACATGCATTTGACTTTAAAGATTAGTTTGAGGAAATGTGCTATGACTAAAGGTGAAAGTGTGCTTAGTTCTGTATAACATGTGGAAACTGGAATTCTAAAAACAAGTTATGTGCATCTCAAATGTTAACCATCAGCATCAAGAATTTAAGACAAGTCTTCTTCATATATGATTGTTTCCACCTCTAAATCAGTACGGTTGGGGGGGAAAAATAAGAATTCTTCATTTGTCCCATCTCTTAGTCTACGAAGGATCAGAGACTGGTGTATTCTGGCAGGTTGCTTCCTGACCACCTTCAGCTGAAAGATATTCTCAGAAAAGTAAGCGTTCCTTTCACAACTTGCATACAATCGCTACTTGTAAAAATAAATGCTGTACAAAATTCTGTTAAACTGCATAGTGACTACTGCTGTGGGCGAGAGATGCAATTCAAATATTGCACAATTGCATGTAGGAAAGCGGATGCAACATGATTTGATTAGCTAACCACATAAGCAAAATAATTACTGCAGTATATGTTTTAGTTTATTACACTGATATTAGTCGCTGGCTACTGAGATTGCAGGTAAAGGACGCAATGTCCTAACTGGTATACAGGTATTCATGCTGAGTATTTAAAGGTAAGATCTTGCTGTCCCACTGTCTTTGCAATATTTCTGGAGACGTGTCTTGAAGTTCAAGGTGCACATGACACATCATTCTTACTAATAAGATTTATATCTTCCAAAGCAGTCCCAATTTAAATGCTGTCATTCTGCAGATGTGAAATGAATATGCTAAAGCTACTTTTCCAGGTTCTATCTGATACAATATGAAAATACTGAAAGGTGTCAGCATAGAGATGCTCAGATTTGTGCAGGTAGCAATTAGTACACACTCTCTAGATGAAAAAGTCAAAATATTGTGGATAAATAAGTGAAAATCTCCAAGGTGACTCATTGCTCAAAAAGGAAGCGTGAGCGTGTGTTGAGGCCCATAATAACGACTAGGTAGGAAAAACTAGCTTGATACTTAAGTGGAATTACTTAAAATTCCAAGAGGATGCAAGAAAATCTTGACCTCCCCTTTTTGCATTAAATCCCTTCTGATTTAACTCTTAATTGAATAAAAACCAGAACATATTGCAAGACGCAGGTGTGACTTGCTAGAATAAAATTCAAGCTCTTTTTATTTGCTTTCTTATGAATCCGAGTAATTTGCTGTAGTATCTGATGACTGTGATTCAGGTGCTTGCACACCTGCAGGCTCTCTGTTGGCACCTTGGGCCCAGCTATGAGCACATGAGGCAATTTTCATTTCCATAGCTGATCCACAGTGGAGTCCTTGTTTATGAACCAGGAGTTACTTAACGATACGAATAATATTTCACATTTATGCAGGACGCTTTGAGTTTTCAAAGCATTTCACATACATTAGTCGTCCATACAATATCTGTGCAAGAAAGCTACGCCAGTAACTTTCTCCAGGTATAACCTCTGGTTCACATGTGGTGGACATGCAAGAAAATTAAGGAATTTTGGAATGTAATTATGATCTTAAAAAAAACGATTAAGGTACCTTTTACAAAAAAGCCGGAGGCTTTTATCCAAGGGATACTTGGCCCAGACATGCCAAAAATTGCGAGAGAAATAGTCTTGTACGCCATTGTAGCAGCAAGAATACTAATCACAATGAATTGGAAAGGAGAGAAAATCCCGAGAAAGCTGGAGTGGCAAAGTAAATGGATGGAGTTTGCCAGATGGGCAAAAATGACAGAAAAACTGAGAGGCAACACTGAACAAATACTTATTTGGAAATGGGATGTGTATAAAAATTATCTTAAAGATTACTGTAATAATATAAAGTCAGTGGCAGGACCTGAATGACTTCTGTGTTATGATGGGCAATTACAAGAGAATATATTATTGATGATTAAAAGGAAAATGGAGATTAAATAAAATAAGCAGTAAGTACATGATGGGGTGGTGGGAAATTGTTGGGAAGGCAAGAAGAATGTACAGTGAGCAAATATTGTTCTTTTCTTTTTGTAATTTTGTTTTGACCACATATACATTTGTTTGTTATGACCTTTTAACCTTAATAAAGCATTAAAAAATGGGGGGGGACCCCAAAACCCTCTGGTTCATTATAATAGTTTGTAATAAATCAGTATGGGACACGGGTGGCACTGTGGTCTAAACCACAGATCCTACGGCTTGCTGATCAGAAGGTCGGCAGTTCAAATCCCCACAACGGGGTGAGCTCCTGTTGCTCAGTCCCTGCTCCTGCCCACCTAGCAGTTTGAAAGCACGTCAAAGTGCAAGTAGATAAATAGGTACCACTCCGGCGGGAAGGTAAAGCGGCGTTTCCGTGCGCTGCTATGGTTCGCCAGAAGCAGCTTAGTCATGCTGGCCACATGACCTGGAAGTTGTACGCTGGCTCCCTCGGCCAATAAAGCAAGATGAGTGCTGCAACCCCAGAGTTGTCCGCAACTGGACCTAACGGTCAGGGGCCCCTTTACCTTTAATAAATCAGTGCCTATAGGAGAAAAATACATTTGTCTCTTATAGACAGTGTGTTCAAACTGTTGTTTCTGAATCACTAGCCTTCCTTGGAAACTAGCAGTTTTCTTGATGAGAAGATTGGTAATAGGATCTTCTGCTAAAATTCAGGGGAGCATTGACCATGTTCTATGCGCACTCTCAATTTGTGGTTAATAAGTTTTCACAATTTTTGTGCGCTGTTGTACTCTGGAGCACATTTCTCCTGAAATGTACCGGGAGTCTGTTTCACACGTTCAGAAGTTTGATCACAGACTAATCAATATTGCTTGAGGTCGGGGATTCCCTGTGGTAGAAGGTTTGATTTCCACTGCAGGATGAGTTGCCATAAGCTTTGTGACTTGCAACGGTTTGCTCTCTGGGAGCTTTTTAGCTGGAATTCCTGTGGGATAGACAGACGTGCCATTCTCTAAATGCAGGTATTGATTCTGTCAGAACAGCTCGGATGAGTAATTGCTTTGGCCGTTGATTTTGAAAATGCAACTTATCTATAGTTTGATAAATAAGCTTTTCTTTGGTGAAATGATTCACCCGTCTGTCACCAGAGGAAGGGCAGATTTGGGGGGGGGGGAGTTCATCAGTCTTAATTAGAAAATTGGATTTTGAATGGAAGGACTAGCTATGGTAAAAAGTGCAACTCTGGTTCTCCTCTTTTGTGTACATTTTTAAGAACAAAAATCTTAGTATAAGACAGGTCAGCAACCTAAGGCCCATGGGCCACAAGCAGCCCATGGGAGTCATTTAACAGGCCCATGGACCCCCACTGCCCACTCGGTTGGCTCCCATGCGCCGTGCTAAACTGCCACAGAGCAAGCAGGGACCGCCTTCTGTGACGATGGCCGGCTTCCCATTGGCTGCAGGAAGCTCCTGCAGCCAAAGGGAAGCTACGACGCCTCCTCCGTGCCGGAAAGAGCGCCAGAAATAGCGTTTGCGCATGCATGCATGCGCGCACACACACTCTGGCCCACTGCGGTGTCTGCGTGACCATGAACCAGCCCAAGCCACAAAAAACTTTGCTGACCCCTGGTATAAGACTTCTCTAATATATATTTTTCCAATAAATATTCTGAAATATATTTTATTCTTCAAGTAACAGTATTTACTTGTCTCTGAACCGTTCAGCTGTAATGTGTATATACCAGTTTTGTATTTAAAAATTGCCTAATTTTTCTGCTAAAACTGCTCACTTTTTTATTTTAGCAAGATGAGTATCATATGGTTCATCTAGTATGTTCTTCACGGACACCCCCAAATTCTCCAAAGCCTGATACCCTTAGGGAAAACAATGGATCGTCAGCACCTAGCAACAACTCGGTGAGTTGGCTTTGTGTAAGGTGCAATCATTAAAGCTCCGTCAACAATGCTCTATAATAAATCCTGACAGGAATATGATGACAGCATGGCCATGTTTCAGCTTGCAGCTTCATCTGTTTCAATTTTATTTCTTTTAGTATCAAAGTGCTTGACTATGATCCCAAGAGGAAACAGGTCCTGGGGTGTATAATGGAACTGCAAAATCCCTAGACTAATCAAATTGTTGAAAAACTTGCTGTTTTTCATGCTGCTGTGTTTGGGGATCCTAGGTGTACTGACATTGTCGTGTCTACTCCCCTCCCCCCAAATAATTAGTGTGTAATTGTGATCTTTTCACTCAGAAGAGGAATACAGACCCACTTTGCAGAATGCTGTTTCTTTTCCCCCTGCAAATCATCGTGATCTTTCCCCCTTAATAGCAAGAACTGCTTTACACATGATGTTTTTCCCACGTGAGGAAAATTTTCATTTTAAAAAAATATGTTACCCCTTACTAAGGAAGCAGGCTAGGATTTTTATTTACTCAAGAGTCTTAAAGGAAAACAGCAACAAGAAGTCACAGAGAATAATTGCAAACCTAATGATTCAGGAAAAGTGTTTTGACTTCAGGTGTGAGAGGTATGCAGTGTAAAATATTCCTTTTTTCAAAGTTTGGGGGACCAAACTATTCAGCATGAAACAGAATCCTTTCTACATCTGATGGAAATTATCGTGTTTTTTATAAAAGAGTTCAGAACATTCAGGATCAACGACTCCTTCGCCATCTCAAGAATCTTCACATACGGCTGGCTCTGATGGTGTAAGACATCGCAACCTGGCACAGAGCAATCCTGTTCAGAGCCACCCGTTCCCTTATATAATGCAAGGGTAAGTAAAATGCTGAAGGGCTTTTTGCAAGAGCTTTATTCAAGCAGTCTGACTCCAGCTACAGAAGCTGAGGCTGTTGAACAGATTCTTGGGCTGCAGTATTGTATACGGGGGTTTGAGAGAGCCGTTGCTGTTACTGATATTATTGTTGTATCTTTAGTTTTAGATCTTATGATTTAGATGGAAATTGTTTCCATTATGTTGTGTGCTTTTTGATGTGTTTTATGTATTGTTTATGACTTCCGTTATGTTTGTAATTATGTAAGTTTTGTCATTATGTCATGTGAGCATAGTTTCAAGTACGGAAAAGCGGCATACAGATAAAATGATGATGTGATGATTCATTTCTTGCAAGGTACTGTAATAACAGGGACGCAGGTGGCGCTGTGGGTTAAACCACAGAGCCTAGGACTTGCCGATCAGAAGGTCGGAGGTTCGAATCCCCGCGACGGAGTGAGCTCCCGTTGCTTGGTCCCTGCTCCTGCCAACCTAACAGTTCAAAAGCACGCCAAAAAGTGCAAGTAGATAAATAGGTACTTCTCCGGCGGGAAGGTAAACAGCATTTCCATGCGCTGCTCTGGTTCGCCAGAAGCGGCTCAGTCATGCTGGCCACATGACCTGGAAGCTGTACACCGGCTCCCTCGGCCAATAAAGCGAGATGAGCGCCACAACCCCAGAGTCGGTCACGACTGGACCTAATGGTCAGGGGTCCCTTTACATTTACCTTTACTGTAATAACAATACTGTATCGCAATATTACGTTTGGCTGAAATGTTAAAAGTCCTGTGGACTGTAACCAGGTTGGAGAAAAAGGCAGCGGATTTCTCCTTGCAAATCAAACAAGCTTCCATTTATTGTATTTGTTTAGTGGATTTATTTCATAAAATTTATACGCCGCTCGATGGTAGAAAGAAATCCCAGAGCAGTTTACAAAACAGGTAATCAGTATACCTAAGGGCTTTTACAAAATTTCTGCGTGTGAATAACTTGTATTTCCCCACCACCAAGTGTAGAATGATTAACTTTTAAGTTTGCTAATGATGCTCTTCGTCATTGCTGTGTTGAGCAATTTTCTAAGCATCTGGCGCTTTTATCAGCACTTTCATCAGCATCTGATAGGCCTTTCCTTCAAGATTCATCTCTTGCATAGCAGTTTATGGAATACATCTGCAAGTGCCGTACATCAAAAGAAGATGCCTTCAGTGATTTTTTTCACTTGTTTTGTTCTAGGCCGACAAAATTGAAGGACAAAAAAATGTGCTCACTTCTCTGAGAGGGAAACTGGTCAGGGTCACAACTGAGGTTATTCACTTTTCCCAGCTTCCATCGTTCATTAAAATAATAATTCGAGGCAACTCTTTTCGTTCCTGGATCATTTTTACTTCCAAAGAGTTAAAAATCAATTTGGGGGAGGGATTAGTGGGTGACACATTGTTTTTTGAGGAAAAAAATAGTGTTGAAGATAGTTGGCAGCTGTATCTGCAGATGCAGTTATATTTATATTTACTGTGGCCTCCTAGCTCATGCCAACATTTCTCCATGTGATTATGAAACTTATTTGTGAACGCTTGGAGAAACTAAATAGGTTTCGCTTTCATGTGTGAACTGCAGGATTGATAAAAAAAGCAGACTGTCTCAAAAATAAGCTGGTTTGAAATGAAATCTGAATTTGATACAGGTGTGTTAAAATATAGAGACATACTTTAAACCAGATCCTTTCTATCAGTTGTGTTTAGGCTGTTGTCCTGTTCCCAGTTACCTGGAAGTAAGCCATATTAAACTATGGAAATCACTTTTGAGTCGCTATATAAGATTGCACTGTTATCCTGCTTTTTTGTTTAAACAAAAGTTCAGAAATACCCAAACACTCTAAATATGGAAAAATGGGTTCATTTACTTCTGTACAAATTATGGCTATTTAGACTACCAGTCAGATAAACCTACTTTCGATCTCATTGGAGGGACTTTTTATATCTAGTAACTGCCAGTTGTTTCTAGAAAATTCTAGGCATATAGGCCTCATATAGGTGATGGTGCCCTTACAGAGGGAGCCAAATAAAAACCTTTCATTTCATAACAACTTTCCTGTCTTTCAAAAGGCTATAAACATCTGAAGCCTAGAGGTTTGAGTTTATGCAACTCTGGTTGCAAACCAGTATGTTTTATCTTGTTCTGAAACAAGATGCAAAACTGATTGCTTGATTAAAATCTATCTACTCTGGTGAACTCCACCTGTAGTGTCTTAAATTCCCAAATTCACACATAAATGTGTATTGAAACCCACAAAATCTACTCTTTTGCACTCTTGTTGCCTAATACTGATTATTGGCAGGGGGTTGGACTCGATGGCCCTTGTGGTCTATTCCAACTCTATGATTCTATGATAGCCTGTTTCACTTCTCAAATGCTTTTGTAAGGAAACAGTCAAAGTATTCTTCACAAGGAAAAATATTTTAAGTAGAGGCACATGTGGCATAATGGAGACCAATCAGATTATTCTCCCAACAATTTTATATTGTATTGTACATCAGAACTTCTAGTATTCTCCCTATTTCTCCCATCTCCTTAGTCTTAGTCTTGAAAGTATATTGTGAATTAGCAAGGTCTCCTGTGGCATCTTGCAGCCAATTTTCTTTCTAAGATAGGAATTGTTGTCTGATGCAATACAGTTGCATCAACTGCTAACACTGTAAATACTTGTTGCCCTTAAAGATAAGATGGGGCATTTCTGTTCTTTAAGATTCTCTTTAATGCATGTGAGCGGCTGACGGTTTTATATCATGCCAGCTTCTTCTAAAATCACATTAGTACTTGACTCGGCTAACTGAACACTCTGCTTTGCAAATGCTGTAGTTGTAACATGTTATCACACATTTGGTGTGAAGTAGCACACAGTGCTTGTTCCTAAATATTATATGAGTATATTTCTTCTACTGTAAAGTGTTATGTTCTGATAAATGATACCAAAGTGCGATCTTCTGCTTTAATGGAAGATGACAGTGAAAATCACTCTGTCTGTCTGTCTGTCTGTCTGTCTGTCTGTCTCTCTCTCTCTCTCTCTCTCTCTCTCTCTCTCTCACACACACACACACACACACAAAACACCTGCCAGGGTCTAAATCAGGCTTCCTCAACCTCAGCCCTCCAGATTCTTTGAGACTACAATTCCCATCATCCCTGACCACTGGTCCTGCTAGCTAGGGATCATGGGAGTTGTAGGCCAAAAACATCTGGAGGGCCGAGATTGAGGAAGCCTGGTCTAAATTAACAAGGAGGATAACTCTTTTGGTTGTTGCTGATTACACCTCTCGGAGGCCTGCAGTGGGGGTGGGGCTGTGTTGAAACGCTCCTGAATTTCCTGTAGTACTAGATTTCTGCATGCTTGCAAAATGCTAAATTGTGGGACGTGGGTGGCGCTGTGGGTAAAAGCCTCAGCGCCTAGGGCTTGCCGATCGAAAGGTCGGCGGTTCGAATCCCCGCGGCGGGGTGCGCTCCCGTTGCTCGGTCCCAGCGCCTGCCAACCTAGCAGTTCGAAAGCACCCTTAAGTGCAAGTAGATAAATAGGGACCGCTTACTGCGGGAAGGTAAACGGCGTTTCCGTGTGCTGCGCTGGCTCGCCAGATGCAGCTTTGTCACGCTGGCCACGTGACCCGGAAGTGTCTCCGGACAGCGCTGGCCCCCGGCCTATAGAGTGAGATGGGCGCACAACCCTAGAGTCTGTCAAGACTGGCCCGTACGGGCAGGGGTACCTTTACCTTTACCTTTAAGGAAATTAAGTTTTAAGGAAAATGTGCACAGTAAAGTATGGCAGGTGAAACTACCCTGTTAACACATAATACCTGATTTCTGATTTAGTGACTTAAAAGCAGACTGTCCTCTCCTCTTGTCTTTGTGGGGAAACGTGTTCTATGTAACTTTGGATATCCCGTTGATATTCTAACTATGTACGTACAACCTGGCATGTAATTTGCTTTGACTGTCTGCAGCAATGTAGGAAACCAGTTCCCTGGGCAAGGAGTGCCAGCTGCTTTTCCTGTGTACCCTGCTTTCAGCCCACTGCAGATGATTTGGTGGCAGCAGATGTATGCCCGCCAGTATTACATGCAATAGTAAGTACAAATGGTGCGTTCTTTAAATTAGTATTGAGACAGTAGAGTGGCAGTTAAGACATAGAGACGAGACTTCGTTATTCTTGAGTAGGCACTAGGACACCCCCAGGCGAGTGCTGTTATCCTCCACTTGCTTGAAGTCGCCCTAGTGCGCCCTCAGAAACACCTTTCAGGTGAGTGCCAACGCTACCTTCCCTGGGCTTTGGTAAACTAAATCTAATGTGAAAACATATTTCCCCCAAAACATTCACCTTTGCGAGAAATGCTTACAAATGCAGCCTTACTTTTGTTTGGAGGCTGGCTTTGGGTCATGCTTTATATTGGAGAAAAACAAATATAGGTTTGTGGGATGTGATACATAAGTAGCAGTCAAATACAACATTCCTTGTTTTCCTAGAGTGGACAGGCAAGGGGATGTTTGGTCCAGCCGGTTGGGAACTTCCTGTTTCCTCCTGGGCTGTGGCATACTTCCTTTGCATGTGACTAGAGGTAGGCGTGACCTTACCTGTGCAGGTAACAAAAGCACAAGGCACGCAGCACTCTCTCTTTAACTTCCTCCGTTATTGGAGCAACAGCTCTTTTTAGGTAGAGATGCCCTGTTGGCTTTGAGCCAACAGAGGACACTGGGACTATCTCTATATGGCAGGCATGTCCAAAGTCCGTTTTGGGGGCAGAATTCGGCCCGATGGCCCATGGCAGTTTATTTCCTGGGGTAAAACCCTCAACAACTTCAATTCTAAAGAAAGCTCAACAACTCCAACCCATTTGGTTGTCCCTCATGGCCCTTCACTTCATCAAATCTGGCCCTCTTAGAAAAAAGTTTGGACACCACTGCCATATGGGATAGCTCCACATGTATATATTTTGTAACTTAAGTCTGCCTTCAGGGATCCATCTGTGAACTGATAATATTAAAGTAAACTTCTTTTACTAACTTTAAATAAGATTGTCGTGTGTTCATTCTTTTGAGAGGGATAAAAGGGGACTTAACAGGAACATACAATTCCATACTGAATTGTATGATTGTGAGAGGCTTAAATAAGCCTGCAACCAGCTACTTGCTATGTGTTAAAAGGGGAATGCACTCTGCTAAGTAAAGGGACTTGCAAGTCACGAAGGATATTAATAAACAAAATATCCTCTCCTGCCTCCCTGAACATTCCCACAAAGTTGACTTGTGTTATTGTTTCATGTATTCTTGTTTCATGGTGAAGAGCATTCTTAGGACCTTGCCTTCTCATCCGTTGGCTTTCAGGATGGGTTCTGCCAGAAAGTGACAGGCCGCCATGCCACGCCACAGCTCTGTGTTGGCCTAGACTGTGCCTTGGCCAAAGGCCTGGTGGAACAGCTCTCTCTTGCAGGCCCTGCAGAAAGATATCAAGTCCCGCAGGGCCCTAGTCTCTTGTGACAGAGTGTTCCACCAGATCGGGGCCACGGCCAAAAAAGCCCTGGCTCTGGTTGAGGCCAGCCTAACCTCCCTGTGGCCAGGGATCTCCCAACATGTTTTTATTTGAAGACCGTAAGGTCCTCCGTGGGACGTACCAGGAGAGGCGGTCCCATAGGTACGAGGGTCCTAGGCCGTATAGGGCTTTAAAGGTTTAAACCAGCACCTTAAACCTGATCCTGTACTCCACCAGGAGCCAGTGCAGCTGGTATAGTACGGGTGAATGTGATCCCCGTAAGGAGTCTTGCCGGGGCAATCTGCACCCGCTGGAGTTTCTGGGTCAGTCTCAAGGGCAGCCCCATGTAGAGTGAGTTACAATGATCAAGTCTGGAGGTGACCATCGCGTGGATCACAGTGGCTAGGTCAGGCCTCTCCTTGTCATTGCATGTCAAAGTACAAGTAGATAAATAGGTACCGCTCTGGCGGGAAGGTAAACGGCGTTTCCGTGCGCGGCTCTGGTTTGCCAGAAGTGGCTTAGTCATGCTGGCCACATGACCTGGAAGCTGTACGCCAGCTCCCTTAGCCAGTAAAGCGAGATGAGCGCCGCAACCCCAGAGTCGGCCACGACTGGACCTAATCGTCAGGGGTCCCTTTACCTTTATATTGCTTTATAAATTCACCGCAGTGGGCAGTATTGAAGGGGAAGTGTAACCTGTGCCAGGCTATGAACACATTTGCCCCGGGTAGTTCAGCTGACGATTGTGAAGAATGTTCATGCATAGATACCTAACGAAGGTGGTTGTTCCTTTTACACCCCTCAACAGTCAAGCTGCAGTTTCAGCCCAGGCAACGCCCAGCACGGAATCAGACAGCCCCCCCGTTCCGCAGCCCCCCAACTCTGAGCGTGCTCCTGCCAATGAGCCCCCAGCAGCACCCAATGTAGCCCCCCAGGAGAACAGGCCTGTCAATCAGAATGTGCAGATGAATGCTCAAGGCGGCCCAGTGATGAACGAGGAGGACTTCAACCGAGACTGGCTGGACTGGATGTATACCTTTTCCAGAGCAGCTATCCTGCTTAGCATTGTCTACTTCTATTCGTCCTTCAGTCGGTTTGTGATGGTGATGGGAGCCATGCTGCTGGTTTACCTGTGAGTAAATGCTGCTGATTGATACATCTCTTTGGTCTGAATACAGAGCACTTCCCCAAGTACAGCATTTTGACAGTCAGTGCAGATCAGTACAGTGGTACCTCGGTTTTCGAACTTAATCCATTCCGGAAGTCCGTTCTCAAACAAAAACCGTTCTTAAAACGAGGCACGCTTTTCCTACTGAGGCCTCCTGCAGCTGGTGCCCTTCCACCGTTCGGCTTCCGTTCTTAGACCAAGGTAAAGCTCACAAACTGGGACACTACTTCCAGTTTTGCGCAATTCATAAACAGGACTGTTCGTAAGCCGAGGTACCACTGTATTGGTTTCCCTGTATTGTGTAGGGGAGTTTGCCCAAGGGAGATGGTGATTTGCCCGGGCCATTCATGGCCAAAGTGAGATTTGAACCAGGGGCTTCCCAATCCCTATTGCTTTCCTCTGCCCCACCCCAAGTTTGACCATTAGCATAATCCATGTAAATAATGGTCAAGGGTTTTCTTGTCAGCTACGTGATCAGAATCTGAACTTTAAAGTTTGGCTGATGGAAAACTAATCATTTTAGAAGTTCATTTCTATTAGTACAGTGGACACTTGGGTTGCGAACATGATCCGTGCAGGAAGCATGTTTGCAACCCACAGCATCCGCAGCGCCGCGTCTGCACACGCATGGGTCACGATTCGGCGCTTCTGCGCAAGCGCAATTTAGCACTTTTGCGCAAGCGCCGAAACCCGGAAGTAACCCGTTCTGGTACTTCCAGGTTTGGTGCAGTGCGCAACCCAAAATCACACAACCCGAAGCATCTGTAACCCGAGGTATGACTGTATTTAAAATGGGTTAAAAACAAGTTAATTAAAATTTTTTACTTTAAGATAAATACTTAGCATGTGATATCTGTATGTTGTATGAGCTTGCCATTCTAATTTCCAAAATTAATACTTACACCTCTAACAACCTCTAGAATCTTACTGGTTTCCTTCAGGAGGCTGAGGCATGTAATAGGAGCTGAATTTTCTTATATTGTTTTCAAAGACCTATTTGAAACAGATGAAACAGCACATATAGTATCAGTGACTGAGCATCTTAAAGACGAAGCTTTTATTAATGCCACCTGAAGGGAAAATGAATCTGAGTATTTTGAGCATTGCTTTCTGTGAACAAGGGGGATCCCACAATGGCAGCATTCTAGAGCAACACAAATCAGTTGGGTAGGCACCCTGTTCACATGCATCTGAAGTTGTGTAGTGTGCTTGCACAATGAGGAGTAGAATTTAATCCTGATTTTGACAAACAAATATATCACGGCTTGAGTATGTGCGCATTGGGTTCTAACATTAAGCTCTCACACAGTATGTGGGCATGTGGTGGGCTATTTATACTCGGAGAAAACGGGTGTGTGATCTCCATGTGCATTGGATCAAGAATATATGAGCAGCACTACATTTGCCATGGTTGCCATGTGCTCATCTGAATGAAAGTAGAAACTACCAGTGTATCTACATTCTGTCCTGTGAATTAACTTGAACCGTATTTTAAAGAAGCAACATCTGCTGCTATGTTTCATATTCATTAATAAGCTTAAACCATTTTTAAGGGCAGAGACGGAGCCTTAATTGCTCTACTGTCTACCATGATGTGCAGAGCTTTTCTGTAAAACCAGCTTTTCTGTAAATAATTACTTTGCCAATAACAAGAATATCCAAATGATTTAAACTGAAGCCTTTCGTAACTTTCCTAAAATTTCTGCAAGCTTGCCTAGGTCATGCAGCTAGTTCCACGTGTGGTTAAATAGGGACCTCTCTTCCTATTTTTAGTGACTATTGGCATCTGAATTGGTCTATTCCTTCTCTACAAATCAGGTTGAATAATGAGCCTTCCAGTGGAGAGCTATTTCACTGTTCCATTGCCAACATTCTATTTGTTTTCTCAGGTCAGGCAGGTATGATTTCTAGTAACTTTGCACATGTGTATTGTAAAACAGACACCAAGCTGGCTGGTTTCCATTCAGGCAAGAGGGACTCCAACAGCCTCCAGGGAACAATGAAGACCTGAACCACGATGGGCAAAACGTAAATAATGCTGGACTTGAGGAGATGGTAGGTGGATGCACATTCATGTTTACTTCCCAAAAAACATATAACTGGAGAGCGGTACTGTTGGCAGTTTTAAGATGTGCTGACAGCTCTTCCTTTAAAAGTGAGCTCTTACATTAAGATAATGAAATGAAATTAAGACAGCCATCCCATGTTCAGTTAACCTGGGAGTAAGCTTCTGGGACGCGGGTGGCGCTGTGGGTTAAACCACAGAGCCTAGGACTTGCTGATCAGAAGGTCGGCGGTTCGAATCCCTGCAACGGGGTGAGCTCCCATTGCTCTGTCCCTGCTCCTGCCAACCTAGCAGTTCGAAAGCACGTCAAAAGTGCAAGTAGATAAATAGGTACCGCTCCGGCGGGAAGGTAAACAGCGTTTCCGTGCACTGCTCTGGTTCACCAGAAGCGGCTTTGTCATGCTGGCCACATGACCCAGAAGCTGTACGCCGGCTCCCTCAGCCAATAAAGCGAGATGACTGCTGCAACCCCAGAGTCCTCCGCGACTGGACCTAATGGTCAGGGGTCCCTTTACCTTTAAGCTTCTTTGAATGGTGGAACTTTCTTAAGGTCTACAGGGCTGTAGGGTCAAATGGTTAAATTGCACTTTTCATATACATCATGTTGCATTCTCTCATTTTGTCAAATTTTACCAAATCATTATATCCGACTACATCATAGGTTTCTTTTTAAAATAAATTTTATTTTTGCATTTTCTATTTTTCATAAACAAATGAATTATCTACATAAACATATAATCCCTTTAGACTCCCCCCATTGTGGATCTTAATGTAATGGTTTCCCCCTCTGCATCTCTTTGATAACACTATTCATTTTAAATCCTTTGTCAACCCACAGTTCAAATTTTTACTACAAGTTTTCTGCCAATCCTACCAATGTATGTAATTGTTTACAATAGCTTTTCAAATGAATTATAAACTTTCCCCCTTCTTCATTAAAGAAAGGCCTCCTCTTCCTGGTTTCTAATTCTTCCTTGCCACCTTGTTAGCCTTGCCACCACGGCATAGTTCATCAATTTTGTCTTTTCTTTGGTCAGATTTTCGTTTCTTGGCTAACAACAGCCCTGCATCCTAGAATTCTGTATATATAACATGATTCCATCACTGCAATTTATATCCCTCTGATTTGAAACGGTTAATGCCCCACGGAGGACCTTAAGGTCCATAAATAGCAACACCCTAGTGGTCCTGGGCCCTAAGGAAGTTGGATTAGCTTCAACCAGAGCCAGGGCCTTTTCAACACTGGCTCCAGCCTGGTGGAATGCTCTGCCTCATGAGACCAGGGCCCTGCAGGATCTGATTTCTTTCCGCAGGGCCTGTAAGACAGAGTTGTTCCGCCTGGCCTTTGGCTTGGAGCCAATTTGATTCCCTCCCCCTCTTTCTTTTTCCTTTTCCTTCTCCTCCTGTGATGAGGCTGCATTTTAATATTTTAATGTTTCAATATTTTAATGTTGTATTTTAATCTTGGGACGTGGGTGGCGCTGTGGGTAAAAGCCTCAGCGCCCAGGACTTGCCAATCGCATGGTCGGCGGTTCGAATCCCCGCGGCGGGGTGCGCTCCCGTCGTTCGGTCCCAGCGCCTGCCCACCTAGCAGTTCGAAAGCACCCCTAAGTGCAAGTAGATAAATAGGGACCACTTACCAGCGGGAAGGTAAACGGCGTTCCGTGTGCTGCGCTGGCTCGCCAGATGCAGCTTTGTCACGCTGGCCACGTGACCCGGAAGTGTCTCCGGACAGCGCTGGCCCCTGGCCTCTTGAGTGAGATGGGCGCACAACCCTAGAGTCTGTCAAGACTGGCCCATACGGGCAGGGGTACCTTTACCTTTACCTTTTTATTTTAATCTTGTTTTTAAGTTGTATTCATTCAGCTTGTTTTTATTACTGCTTGTTAGCCGCCATGAGCCCGGCCTTGGCTGGGGAGGGCAGGGTATAAAAAATTATTATTATTATTATTATTATTATTATTATTAAACCACTTGGGGAATTTGTTTTGCAAAGGAGCACCTTATGGATGACGGGATGGACGAAGACAGCGGCGAAGATGTCGTTGACGTCAACGCAGAGCATCCGCATCCCGGCTTCATGGCTTCTGCCTGGTCCTTCATCACCACTTTCTTCACGTCCCTCATCCCCGAAGGGCCTCCACAAGTTGGCAACTAAGCCAGGCAGGAGCCGTCAGTAGCAGAGGAGAGTTATGCTCAAAAGTGGAAGTTGACTCTGGGCAGGGGGTATTTTAAATACAGTGCAATTTCAAGATTTATAATGTAAACTTTCTGATCATGGTGTACAAAAATGTGTATTTTTTTCTCTCTCTCCGCTTTCTCACGCTTACGGATATTTTAAGCAGAAATGGACTACTAAATGCTTTTTAAAAGATTCTTTATGTAAAGAAGAACAAATGTAAAAAAAAAATTAGTCTTCCATGTTTTTTTTTTGTTTCAATTGTGATAACACTGAGGCGAGACGCTTGTAGTTGGTGTGCGGTGTCATCCCTTTAAAGAGTTGTTAAAACACAAGTATGGGGAGGAACTCTTTGGAAATAAGACCCTTCGCAGTAAAAAAAACCAGTACCTGTATAGGAATCATTGTGTATGTGGTTTTTAAAATTGCTTAAAGTAAATCAGCACCATAGTTTTGAGTTGGAGGCAACACTGTTTTGCCAGGGGCATGTATCCCCCCCCTCACTTCATGCCACAAATGACATAGCAGCTCTTCAAAGGGAACAGACAGTGATCGAGTGCACTACAAACTGTTTAATACATGCTGTACTTTTTTTTTTTAATACATGTACTGGGAAGCACAGAAACATGTAATTAGTTTTTTAATTAAAAAAGAAAAGAAAAGCTACGGTGAAAAGAACACACATTCCTTTGAATTCTTCTGTATTCATCTCCAGCAGGGGTGGCCAACGCCCAAGAGACTGCGATCTACTTACAGAATTAAAATCTGGCGGTGATCTACCCCCATTTTTGGGGAGGTTCAGGTCAAAGATGTGGAGCTATTTTTAGGGAGGAGGAAAGCCCCATTTTGGGGTGATTCAAGTGATAGTTTTTGAGCTTTTTTTTTAGGGAGGAGGGAAGTCCCATTTTTATTTTAAAAAAATCATTTTTATTAAGTTTTCCGTTTTAACAACCCAGTCAAATCACATAGTCTAAATCAAATAGTCTAAATATTCTACCTAAATTATAAATTTTTTGTTGGGACTTCCCATGCTTCAACTTCGGTTGGGGCTCTGATCATCTCATATCTGTGCTGCCTTGGGTAGTCTTTCCAATAGTTCCTTTAAATCTTCCTGTTGTTAACCTTCCTTCTTTCATGGCCTCTGAGTTGTTTCCACAAGTGAGTTGAAATAAGCAATGATGTGTTTCTGTGTGAATTTTAGTATATGACTCTCCGCTGTTGTTGCAGTATCTCCTCACACGCTGGTGTTTGTGCCGAATCAATCCAAAAGTCATTTCGCTGCAGGCAGACGCCATCTTCTCTCAGTTCCGATGAAATCAAATCTCGGCGTTTGCTCATTAATTTCCCCAGACCGGTTGCCTTTTCCAGGGGAGATTTACCAAATCGGACTTGAAATACAGATATAATGACAAATTAAGAGCTCACCTCCCCCTGTAACTATTTATAACTCTGCAGCTCAGTCTTATTTCAGCATGGTGCATTTCCAAATTAAAAAGTGTGTCACATCTCAACATTCTAGGAACGGGAAGTCCCGTTTTTAAGGGTTTTGGGAGATAAGGAGGAACAGCCACTCACCAACAGATCACTGGGGAAAACAAACAGCCTCACTGAGTAAGATCCCATCTTTCATTCTGCAAATTGTGCAAGAATGGAGGGCGGGGCAAGGGGGCGGTCCCGAATTCTATTTCACCAATGCGATCGACCGCGATCTACCAAAACCCTGGGGATCTACCAGTAGATCGCGATCAACCTCTTGGACACCCCTGATCTATAGAAACATAGGTTTGATGAGGCCCTAAGCTACTGAAGGCCCTTTATATGTCCAGCTGTCCTCTGTCAACAACAAATTGTCGCTGTTTTTTGTGTTGAATATATGCAATATGGTAATTTTATGGACCTATTGGTTATCTAAAGCCATTTGTACACAACAAATAGCCTACACAACACAAAACACTATTGCTGTATGTAGGTTTTATTTAATTTTTATATTTTATTTGGAAATGTACTTCCAGGGTTTTTTCCCCTTTAAATTTTTTTGGGCCCCCCCAAGAGAGTGAGGCCCTAAGCTATAGCTTGTTTAGCTTACACGTAAATCCGGTACTGGTAATGATACTGGTTTTTGCTTTCCGCAAGTCTGAGATGTTATTTGTTTTGTTTTGTTTTTAAAAAGAAGGTAGTTTAAAACTTTCACATAACCAAGTTAGAGTTTGGGAATTAAAAAGGAGAAATTATTTCCAAAATTTGAATGAGCCAGTCTTTGAGTGCATCTTGGCCCGATGGAGCTATCCTTCTGTTTTGTGGCTTAGGTGTACGCAGCAGGAAATGGTCTTAGCAGATTTCAGCTTGAGCCACGTGAAAAGATTTTCAGCAACTTGGAAGTGTGTTTGTCCTCTGATACCAACAACTTACCGTATTTTTCGCTCTATAAGACGCACCAGACCATAAAACGCACCTAGTTTTTGGAGGAGGAAAACAAGAAAAAAAATATTCTGAATCCCAGAAGCCAGAACAGCAAGAGGGATCGCTGCGCAGTGATCCCTCTTGCTGTTCTGGCTTCTGGGATAGCTACACAGCCTCCATAAGACGCACACACATCTCCCCTTTTTTGGAGGGGGGAAAGTGCGTCTTATAGAGCGAAAAATACGGTACTTGAAGGTCCAATCCAATCCAAAGGAAAGAAACAAATTAGTACAGAAGCCACAGTCTATCCACAGTTTATTCTAATACTGCTTGCTGATCTCATGGTTACTAATAGCACTGGTGGTGGTGCACTGCAATTTGATTGTGTAATCTGACTCTGTTCTTTTGTTCAGCACCCATGTGACCATTCATCACAGGAACATTTCTATTAGTTCTGCTACTTTGGCGGCGGTGTGTCAATCCAGCACATGTAAGGAAATGCCTGCTTTTCCTGTTTCTGTTTCTATGTGGCATGTCCTGGGCTGGCCCATTGGGGTTTAATTCTCCAAATAGCTGCTATGTACAGTTTTGAGTCCTGCATGTGTACAGAGTTCTCCAGGATCCACTGCAATATTGCAAGAGATCCTGAAATGTACCTTTGGAACAGATGCCAGAAGTAGTCTGAGATCTGAGAAGTGTCACCTTGTGTAATCTATCTCCTAAGTTTCTTACAAATACAGTGGTACCTTGTTTTGAGTCCAGGATCCGTTCCAGAGTCCTGGACACTCGACGAAAGGGACGCTCGACAAAGTGTCGATGTGCACACGTGTGTGAGCTGTTTTGCACTTCTGCGCATGCGCACAGTGTGATTTAGCGTTTCTGTGCGTGCGCAAGCAGCAAACCCAGATGTAACCTGTTCCAGTACTTCTGGGTTTGCCGCGGACATTCCACGAAATGGACGCTTAACGGGGCGGACTCACAACAAGGTACTACTGTATATACGCTGCTAGCACTTCTACTGTAGAGAGCAATTGCAATATTGTTGGCACCCATTTGTCTTGGGAGACAATGGACCAGTGCCTTTGGAAGTGGAGTCAGGCTGCTGGAAGGATGGAAGGTTATGGCACCTGCTGTGACAGTAGAGACCGATAAGGGAGAGACATGGTTGTTGTAGCCAGGGCAGATGAAGGTGTTTGGTTGTGCTGTTAAAGATGCACCATGGTTCTTCTTTCTGCGCTCCTCCCAGCAGCCATTCCTCCTCTGGTCCCTGCTATGGATTCATAACCTGTCTCCAGACATTGCGGCCGTGTACACAGGGGCGGAGGAAGGGGGTGCGGTCCGCCCTGGGTGTCACCACTGAGGGGGGTGACAAAATGCCAGGCGGCACTCACTGTGAGGCCTCTCCTGGGAGAGATGCGGTGGCTTGGGTGCATGCAGGCTCTGTGCTGCCCAAACTGTCTGCCCGCTGCCTCCCTCCAGCTGTAGGTTGGCTGAGTAGGAGGAGGTAGGCAGACTCCGGAGGCCCCACGGTGCGTCCTGCCCTCACCCCACCCCTTTGGGTGGATTGCCCCGCCCCTGGGCGCGCCACCCCAGGCGCCTGAGCGGCTTCCTCCGCCGCTGCGTGTACAAGGGATTCCTACACGGTGGAGTTGAAGTGGCCAGCCTTCATGTCATGTTTGCAAATGTCTTTGTAGCGCAGAGTTGGTCTGCCAACATAGTCCCTGAAGCCAGCTCTCCGTAGAGCATGCCCTAGATCATGGGTAGGCAAACTAAGGCCCAAGGGCTGGATCCAGCCCAATCACCTTCTAAATGCAGCCCGTGGATGGTCCGGGAATCAACGTCTTTTTACATGAGTCAAATAGGTCCTTTTATTTAAAATGCATCTCTGGGTTATTTGTGGGGCATAGGAATTTGTTCATTTTTTTTTTATCTTTTCAAAATATAGTCTGGCCCCCCACAATGTCTGAGGGACAGTGGACCGGCCCCCTGCTGAAAAAGTTTGCTGACCCCTGCCCTTGGGGATCCTGTCAATGGATTGTCGTGGTTAAGTATTAACGCATATTGACAAACTGGAAAGGGTTTGGAGCCTAAAAGAATGATAAAAGTTTAGATCAGTGTTTCCCAACCTTTTTTGGGCAAAGGCACACTTGTTTCATGAAAAAAATCTCGAGGCACACCACCATTACAGCCCCGTGACGTCAGCGCGCAGCGTCACGCCGGGAGGGACGCACGAAAGTGTAAGATTCAATTTTTTCCCCTCCCCCTTGCCTTCCTTCTGTGCCAACCGCCAAAAAGCCAAGAATCGCGGGACCGCCGGCGGAGGGGGGAGGGCGAGCGGAGGCAGCGGCAAGCCCCGTTCCTCCCCATCCGCCCCATTCCGTACAAGGAGCGCGAACAGGTGTGAGAAGGGGGTCAAACCTGCGGGTCGGCGCCGGGGAACCTCCAAGCTTTGGGGGTGGGGGGGAGGAGGCAGCAAAGCGAGGCAGGAAGGAGAGCGCGGCTTGGCAAAGTACTCGGCGGCGAAGGCCAGCAGGTCCGGCGGCCGGTGCCGCAGCACCTCCACCGTGTAGCCCTGCAGCAGCTCAGTCAGACCCGGCGGGATCTCGATGCTCATCTTGTAGCCGAGGCGCGCGGGAGACTCAACGGACGGGCCCGGGGGAGAGAGAGAGAGAGACACGACGGAGAGAGAGCGGGAGTCCCTGCTCGCCGTCGCCACCGCTACAACTACTGTGGCGGTTGGTCGTGGTCGCCGCCGCCGCCGCCCACCTCTATCTATCTCTCCCCCTCAGCTTTCTACGCGGGCCTCGAGCCGGAGGTGGGGGGTGGCCGCCGCCGCTTTCTCCGCCTCCACGTCCTGCCTCCTCCTCCTCGAGCCCTCCGTCAGCCCTGAGCGAACCGCCGCGCTCGCGCCGCCGCTCTCTGACACACGAGAAAGAGAAAGGAACGGAGCGGCGGGGTAGTCGGGGGAAGGAGGGGTCGGAATGGAAGCGCGAGGCGAGCTGCGCATGCCCAGCAGGAAGCGGCGGAGAACGCCACAGAGAGAGAGAGAGAAGCAAGGGAGGGCGGGGAGTGGGCGGGAACACGCTTCATGCGTCACAATAACGGACAAGAGGCGCTCGAGGGATAGATTAGGACCTAATTTGACTTTTACAAAAAAAAAAAAATCTTTCGAATTTTCCCCACGGCACACCAGGCAACATCTCGCGGCACACTAGTGTGCCGCGGAACAGTGGTTGGGAAACACTGGTTTAGATGCAAATGGAGTGAGAAGGTGCAGC